TCCTCCAGAAGTCCCCCACTGGGAGAATTCACTCAAAATGAAGAGGCAATTCAGATTATCACTCAATCCTTTTCAAACTGTGACCTGAGTGCCACTAGCGGCTTAGCAAAAGTTTCTGGAGACCTGATTCACCCCATTTCTCTTGTCCTTAGCAGTCTGCTCATTTCTGATATCAGAGAAAGAAAGAATGACCAAGAAAGAACCTAAAAGTAGCAAATGCGATAGTTGTTTGAAGAAAAATCTAGATGTTTGTATAGATATTTCATGGTTCTCAGTGAGGATCACTATCTGAAGTAGGTTTCTCCCTAAATTTGAGGTTAGGTGTTTTCAGTAGTATTTAACTTACTTTTTTTTAATGGTATGGTGGGAAGAAAACATATTTTTAAGTGAAATGTATGCTTAAAGTTGAAGTGAAAGTAAATGTGTTAGTCACTCAGTCACGTGCAACTTTTTGTGACCCCACGGACTGCAGCCCACCAGGTTCCTCTGTCCATGGGATTCTCCAGGCAAGAATCCTGGAGTGGGTTGCCATGCCCTCCTCCAGGGGATCTTCCCAACCCAGGAACTGAACCCATGTCTCCTGCACTGAAAGAAGAATCTTTACCATCAGAGCCATAGAGCCCAAACACAAACAGCTAAACCACACTCGAAAACTTTCTTAGGTTGAAAGGAAGCCAATGAGCCTTAGAATTAACTCTTAGCCACAGTGAGAAGCACAGAAAACAGGATTTCTTGTTAACTGCTGATAACTCCCAAGGAAGCGATAGGCACACACAAGGAATTAGCCATATATGACTGCAAACCACTGTCCACTGGTCAATCACAAAGGCTCGTATTATTAGAATGAAACAAAACAACTATCACAAATATTTTTAAGTCACAGAAAGCAAACAGTTCCATATGATAAAAGCCACCTGATTGGAAGTCTTAAGAAAAATCAGTTTGGTTTCAAATACGCTTTTATCTGGAGGGAAATAAATACCGCAGCATCTGCCTTCAATCCATTCTGGACTGGTTAGGATTAGCACATCCTATAATAACTTCTCAGCGTTAATTTCACAAAGGATAAGTAATCTGCTATTAGGAATCCAAGAGAAATCATTTTTAAAAAAACAAAGCAGAACATCAGAGACCCATAAACAAGGTGACCACAATTTACTAATAAGAAAACAGTTTATTCAGCTTATCTTCAGAAAAGGTAAATATATGCAACTTAGTTGCTTACCTCCAAATTACAGACATTAAAATCCCCAACAACCAATTTAAGATCCCAATATCTCGCAGAATCCGCTTTTTGGTTAAAATCAGAGATTAACATTTGGCCATAGGATATGAGTGAGTAGGAAATAGAGTGAGGAAGAAACACTCATGAAGTTTGTATATATACATGGACAAATCCAAAGTCTGCAGAGCAAGCAAAATAAGTAGGATATATTTCTCTCAACTTCTGTATAACATGTTAGAGCTTCATTTTTATACCATCTTATGCAGTTGTCTACTTGTTTTCTAAGTATCTTTTGCAGTAAAATATTAAGTTTTCAGGGTGGATCCATGTTTTGCAGGGCTACCTTATGTCATTTGAGGGGTTTTCTCTAAGAAAAAGAATATAAAATTATGAATATCAATTATGAAGAGGGTACTCCCAGTGAAGGGTCCTAGAGGTTAAACACCAGCAACTTCACAGTAAATTCATCACAAAGGTGAGAACTTACCAAGTCTCCTATTTCTGCTTCGTCCATATGGTGTCTTGCAGAGCACAGGGTATTTTAAAGACATTTCAGTACTTGTTGATTCCACTCATGTCAGAATCAAAAGATCTGACTATGAGATTAAATTCAAGGTCAAGCCTTGGCCCACCTAAATGGTTCAAGATATATCTTAACTCTTCATTCGATTATACCTTAAATGATAGTTTGAATTAAATGTAATTTCAATTCATGTTGATTCTGTTATTTAACAATTGTCATAATATTTTAACAATCCAAAAATGTCTACCCACTATGACAGGAAAACAAACAGAAGATTTTTAAAAATCATCACATAAAAGCTGGATGTACATGAGTCATAGACTAAACACTCTAGTTCCTGTGTGTATATCCACTATTTATGATGAGCAGCTGGAATTCATGTGCACTCCTTCATGGACGATAGACATCTGTGGTCTATTATCAGTGGAGTTACCCCATAAGCAGAAGAGGTTACCAGTTCCAAAGAAAACTTGTAGGAGTTTTTGATGTGTTGACCTATTTCCTTATACTGCCTGCCAACAGTTAGCATACTGCATCCTCTCTATAAATACAGAACAGAGGAAAGAAAATGCATATAATTCTTCAGGTTCTATTTATAGGTGTGAGGCTAACAACTATGAGACTATGAAAGAAATGACTCACTAATCCCACAGGTTTATACACCATGCTTAATATTTTAATTACTGCTGTGTAAAAAAAACCTACAGAACTTCCCACTGATGTCAAAGTCCAAAGCTCTCTCGGCTTCATTATGCACTGATCCAGTTAAGACATTTTGTGGATGTTTCTGAATGTGAACATAAGAACATCCATTCATTTGAGTGACTTCACTCTATATGTATCTAGGAAGAAAATATCTTGAGAAAAACTCACTGTTATCAATACCTTATTCACATTGTAACAGAATTAGATTATTAAAGGCCTTTCTTAAGACTGATAAATGACTGCATAAAAAAATTTTTAATATCTTCATAAGAAGAATGTTTATAAACAACTTTTAAAACCAAAGAACAAATTAGAAAAAAATATATTTCCAACAAATATAAGCAAAAAATTTGGGGGCCTCCCTAGTGGTCCAGTGGTTAAGACTCCAAGCTGCCAGTGCAGGAGGCATGGGTATGATCCCTGGTTGGAGAACTAAGATCTCACATGCTGCGCAACTCGGACAAAAATATATATATATATATATATATATATATGTATGTATGTATGTATGTATATATGTACACACACATTTTAGGAAACCTAACTTTGTTATTAGACAAAGAGTTATAATTAGATGATCAATAATTAGGTAACAATAATCCAAAATAAAAATAACTAAAAGATATGAAAATTGGGTTCATAAAAAAAACCCACAAATGACCAATAAGTATTTCAAAACATGCTAAACCTCACTCATAAATGTTAAGAAACATAAGTATAAAAACAATGAGCTCCTTTCCAACAGACAGATGACAGTAGAGATGGTTTCAATGATGAAGATGAAAACACTACTCACAGTTGGCCAGAGTACAGGGAAACCAAAGCAACACTCATTCTCTGTGGACAGGAGACTGGTTGGCACAACTTTCTGAAGGGCAATCTAGCAACATTGTTCACATTTCAACGTGCTTATATATTTTGGGGACTTCCCTCATGGTCTGGTGGCTAAGACTCCGGGCTGCCACTGCAGGGGTCCTGGATTTGATCCCTATCAGGGAACTAGATCTCACATGCTACAACTAAAAAAGATCTTGCATGATGCAATGAAGATTAAAGATCTGGAATGCCTTACTAAGGCTCCTCTGTCTATGGGATTTCCCAGGCAAAAATACTGGAGTAGGTTGCCATTCCCTTCTCCAGGGGATCTTCCCAACCCAGGGATCAAACCCAAGTCTCCTGCATCACAGGCAGATTCTCTACCATCTGACCACCAGGGAAGCCCTACTAAGACCCAGTGCAGCCAAATAAATAAAGAAAAATATATATTTTTTAAATGCTTATATATTTTGACCCATCAGTCACTCTTCTGTGAAATTATCCTATAGAATTCTCAGACAAGTGTTTATACTTAGGAAATATATACTCATAGTCACTCTTTGCAGCACTGCTGAAAAGCTTAAAGACAAACTAAACTAGAGAGAGCTTAACTGTAAATCCATAGGACTTCCCAGGTGTCTCAGTTGTAAAGGTGTCTGCCAATGCAGAAGACACTGGTTCTATCCCTGGGTCAGGAAGATGCCCTGGAGGAGGAGATGGCAACCCACTCCAGTATTCCTGCCTGTTAGATTCCAAGAATGGAGGAGCCTGGTGGCTGCAGTCCATGGGATCACAAAGAGTTGGATACAACTGACTGGGGACACACACAGAGCATTCTATCCAATAAATACCATAAAGTCACTAAAAAGAACACAGTATCTACCTACATGTGCTGACTTTAAAATAACAATAGCTTATGTTTCTTGAGCTTTCAATATCCCAGCCACTGTTCTAAACTCTTTATATATGTTAAAGACTTTACTGAGTAAAAAAAAATCTCCAAGATACAGATAAGTAAAAAAAGAAAGCTGCAGAATACACTGTGCACTGTGGTTCTATTCATACTAGAAATATGTATAAATATTATATATAAATACAAATATATAAACATACATTTATGTTTAAATACCCAGAAAAGCTTGAGAGTAATACCAAAGGAAGAGTTTACAGTTATTACCTAGGAAGAATGGGCCTGAGAATGGGACTTAGGTAAACAGAAATTTTTGTGTTTTATTTTTTACTTTTTTTTTCAGAATTTTCTGAATCATTTGAACTTTTTTACTATATACATGAATTACCTCTATTTTTAAAATATTCATATCTGCTATCTACCTAATTGGGGAGGACTTTTGGACACAATGGGAGGAGAGGGTGGGATGATTTAAGACAACAGCACTGAAACATATACATTACCATATGTAAAATAGAGAGCCAGCGGAAATCTGATGCATGACGCAGGGCACCCAAAGCCGGTGCCCTGTGACAGCCTGGAAGGCTGGGGTGGGGAACATGGTGGGAGAGAGGTTCAGGAGAGAAGGGACACACATATGCCTATGCTCTATTCATGCTGATGTGTGGCAGATTCACGCTGATGTGTGGCAGAGGCCACAACGGTATGGTAAAGCAATTATCTTCCAATTAAAATAAAGTTTTTAAAACAAAGAACTTCATGCCTTCACTCTGCAAACAGCCTGACGTCCTGCCACCTCGCACGCCCCTCCGGATTCTTACCTGCCCAGCAGCAGCCCCAGCACTTCTTTAGTGGAGGCGAAGCCTCTGTATGTGGACAGGAAGATGCTGATATATGTAAAGTCATTGTCCCCAAACGCCGTCAGCAGGTTCTCCACGAGCTTCTCCAAGGTGCCAGCTTTTATGGTCCTGATCTTACACGTCTCATACTGACTGACTGTGTGTCCCGGAGGCAGCTGGTCCCCTTCAACCTGCATGATAAACTCAAGATTAGGATCCGGAGAAACGCCTCCCTAAACTATGAGTGACAACACTGAACAGGCTGCAGCGTGGCCCGTCATGCTTTCCCCTGCTCTTATTTAACTTTCCCACCAGTCAGGAAAGGCTGACCTCAGTCCTCTCACCTGTGAGTGCAGTAGCGTGGGATGGGTCGGGGTACCGGGGTGGCACCTGCTTGTGGTCCCACAAGCAGAGGGATTAGTTCATCATTTGCTTCTGCTCACTTTTCTATCAAGAACTACGTTGCTGGCATATTCTGTCAAGAATGTTTTCTTATGACTCCGGGATCGAGTTTAGCAAATGCAATCAATCATTCCATTTACACTGTTCCACAGTTAAGCTTTCAAATTCATTCTCAAAGACAGCTCCTACAATGGGGTGCTGGCACTGATCCTACTGACTTTGGAGAGCTGCTTATTAAATTTTTAGATTTGTGTGAGCCAGATGACAGTATGTTGATAGTTTGGAGGGAAAAAAAAAATCAGTCATGGGAGGAGTATGTTCTCCACAGACATCTAGGGAAATCTGACCATGATCTGCTGTTTTTTGGTCCATGGAAGGCAAAACACATTCAATATCATCATTAATCAACAGAGTTGGCTGAACAGCAGTTGTACCAAGCAAGCCTCAGCTAATCTTGGATGAGTAATAGAAACGGTAGGTAGGTGCATGACCCCTGCCTTTTGGAGACTAGCAATGTACAGTACAGTAGTCATGTATGGATGTGAGAGCTGGACCATAAAGAAGACAGAGTGCTGAAGAATAACGCTTTTGAACTGTGGTGCTGGAGAAGAACTCTTGAGAGTCCCTTGGACGGCAAGGATATCAAACCAGTCAATCCTAAAGGAAATCAACCCCGAATGCTCATTGGAAGGACTGATGCTGAAGCTGGAGCTCCAACATTTTGGCCACTTGATGTCAACAGCTGACTCACTAGAAAATCCCTGATGCTGGGAAAGACTGAGGTCAAGAGAGAAGAGGGTGACAGAGGATGAGACAGTTGGATAGTACCACCGATTCAATGGACATGAACTTGGGCAAACTCTGGGAGATGGTGAGGGACATGGAAGCCTGGCAGGCAGTGGTCCATGGGGGTCACAAAAAGTCAGACACCAGTTGGTGACTGAACAACAACAACAAAGAGAAAATATTTCCCTGTGAAAAGTAGCTACCACATGAGAAAGAAGTGACTGTGAATAGTACTGGTAGGTATAACTGCCCCTTGGAGACATAAACCATAACACATTAAAAACTGATTAGTGATAAAAATCTGTAAAGCTTTAAAACTGAATATAGGGGAAGAGAAATAAACTGAAGAAAAATCCAAGTGTGCCTTATATTCTACAATAAATCTGTGCTGAACAAATTATATAGTGATGCAATTTTCAGAGTTCAACCTGTCCTTCATAGGCATAAAGGAAGATGACCTATAGAAAGGAACTTGTTTTAAAGCATAGAATCATTCTAAGTGACGGAGACAATTGCCAGGCAATATCTCTCAATTTTAAGTGTGGATTGTTTTATATCAGATTTTCCTAAATTGAAATAATCAGACACGTGACAAAGGAGAGCAAAAAAGAGAGAACTGAAAACTCTAAATGATGACATTGTGCTTACAAAGTCACATGTTTGCTATTTCTTCACCTGTCCTGTCAAAAGTTAAACCACTGGAAGGAAATTAGCAGGCAAGATTGCTTCCCGCAAAACCAAAGTAAAGGCCATCATTTTTAGAAAGGGCTTAGAACAGCTTAATGTCATCATGGCTAACTGCCAGCAGGAATTAATCCTAAGACTCTAGCATATGCAGGGGGTGCCTTGATTTCTTTATTTAATTTTCGAAAGATACTTTTAGTTTACAAAGGAAAGGGCTCTGATTCAGGCAAAACTACCAAATGGACTCAGATCATGGCCTTACAATTATTCATTATCACTCTATAAGCAGTTTTAGAACAAGCCTGATAATATCCATCTGTCTTCCAAGAGCTTCAGTTAACTTTAACTAGAAACAATCAGTGAAGAAGATACATGGTTTCAATGTCTAATTACATTTTTAATTACTTGGTACAGTGTTGGCCTAAATGTGTGCTGTAAAATACTAGTTTCAAAACAAAACACCCTGCATTCAAATTTGGGAACTATGGAGTTAAACAAAGCCCATCATATTTCTTTTCCATAGAATTTCTTACAGTATTTAATATGCCAACATGCTATGAAACTCCAAAGAAGGATATGGTATCTGACATTTCCTAATGGATTTCCCTTTGGTCTCAGAGCACCCTGCAGAACATTAGGATGAATGTATTTTGGAAAATGTTAGCTTATTAAGTCACTGTGATGCAGTTGTAACTTAATTCACATTTGCCACTTTTCACTTAAAAAAAAAAAAACAAGACATTATAAAATTAACTTTTACCTTCAAACATCTATATTCCTTTGATCTCTTTCTTAATACCACCAAAATTTAGGGATATTTTGTGTTTTTTTACTTTGTGAACTCAAAAGATCTGATCAAAATAATTATCACTTAAAAAGCAGAAGTTAAAAAATACACCTCAACGGCAAATGTTAACAACAACAATAAAAGGAATGGCTTTTCAGTTTCTACGGATATTCAAGCTCTAATTCTAAATCAAGCTTCCTTACCTTGTGACAGACAATGTCAGGGTTCCCTTACCAATAAATTTTGTAATTTGATGATATGTATTTTACAATGCAAACTCCACTTTAAAGCTAAATCTTTTCTTATTAAAAGTAGTTACTGTTTAAGAGAACTAATTTTTCCCTAAGCAGTGATGTGGCCAAAAATTCAAACACAGAGAAAAATGCTTGTCAAAGACCCTGATGAAGTGGGTCCCTTTTCCTGCCAGAAAGCAGATTTGGCAGGAAGCCAATGCTCTCCCTTGGAAATGGATTCATGTTACTCATTAACCCAGTCGCTTCCTTTCACTCCTTCTACTCTGAAGAAAATCTCAACACACATGCCTGATCCCCATAAATGCCTTTAACGGTTTCTGTTCCTCAGTGTTTGCATCTGTACATTAGGAAGAACCATGACTGAGCTAATGGAATAGCTAACAGAATATTTTGAATATTTAGATTTTAAGAGTTATTCTCTAATTGCAACAAATGAGCATCAACGGCAATAGCATAAAATGAAGTACAGGAATTGCTCTGATGCCTAAAGTCGTTCTCACAAAAAAAAAAAAAAAACAATACATGTCAGTGTCAGAGCACTTGCTCAATCTTATTTTCTGCACGTTTGCTAAGTACCCTAATATCTCTTCGCTAGCAAGGGGAAGGCCAGATTTTTGAAGATGAGCTTTAATTTGCCAATATTCAAATAAAGTACAGGCTTCCCAAGTGACACAGTGGTAAAAGAATATGCCTGCCAATGCAGAGGACACAAGTTCAATCTCTGGGTCGGGAAGCTCCCCTGGAGTAGGAAATGGCAACCCACTCCAGTATCCTTGCCTGGAAGACTCCAGGGACAGAGGAGCCTGGAGGGCTACAGAGTTTGCAAAGACTCAGACACGACTGAGCATGCACACAAGAACAAATAAAGTACATTTTTATGATATAAAAATTTTGTAATTATCTGCTTGTTACTGGAATTGAAATAAAGTTATACAAAAGTGAAACACACAAAAATATCCTACGCCTATGGGTAGACTGGAAAAGCGAAAATGTTTAAGAGCAACATGACCCTTTTAAGAGACTTTAGAGTCTGTTTTTGTTTGTGATAACTCAACATCTTCAAATTCTAGTTTAAAAGAATAGTGGGGAGAGGCAGTGAGGAAAGTCTTGGCAGACAAGTGTTTAATAACTCAGACTTAGAGAGCAAGACATGGAGGGCTAAGCCTGCCCTCTGGGTTAGCACGCTAACAGGAAACAGCCCAATCTGGATTTAATCAGAGACCATCGCTTTACTGACAAGATCACGATACTGAGGCCACAAAAATGTTTCATGATTGTTTTTTGGCCAATCCGTCCGCCATTAGAATTCAGCATTTCCTCGGAGAATATGCCTGACTCCTATGGGGTAAATATCTAAAACCCTGCCCAACTGTCCTAGCCATGGAATTTCTATAATTACCAATTTTGACATAAGAGGGACAGGAGAAAAAATGTGAGAGATGAAATGTGCCATATTTCAACTGTGTTTCCAGTCATTGAGAAATGACTCTTCTGCCTTCTAAAACATAAACTGTTCACAACTTGGGTGTTTTTAATTTTAAAAAAAAATCCCTTCAATCAAAATAATCCTTTAGTCATCTGATACTTTAACAGGGAACGTGTTAAGTAAACAACCTCATTAGACTGGAGACAGTATTAAGTCTTTCTCCAAGACATGCTTAATCTTTAGTACATCAGTTCTCGGGCATCCTGGCACGAGCAGAAATGTAAATAGTGAGAACTCTTCCAGTCATAACTCCCCAAGAAAATCTAAAACCCAGAGCCAAGATTTTACAGGACTTTAACAGCATGTTCCTCTCTGTACATTCATCTCAGAACACCAAAGGTCCATTTTATATCCCCTATTCAAATGCCCTGAAACCACTGCCCAGAAACAATAAGAAAGCACCACAGCATAAGAAATATCATAAGATGACTCACAAACTCTGATCATTTGTCCACATTGCCTAAACAAGCAGAGATTAAATGTGCTTGCCATGCAAAGGACAACTATGTTTATGTAATGGCATAAAGCACAACATTATGGAGCAGCCCAGTGCATCTGAGTAAAGAGAACTATTTACACATAGGACATTCAGAGATGTAAGGCAGAGTCCATACAAAACCCTAAGGCATGTGATGGCAAGCTCAGTGTGAGCTTCTGTGTTGCATGAACTTCTGTTCTGGGTGTCAGCTAACATTGTTTTTGCTAGGTTAGGGTTGCCAGAATGCCCAGCTAAATTTTAATTTTAGAAAAAAATAATAAATAATTGAATAATTTTGTGAACATAATTGTTAC